TATTTAATCCATCAATTAAAACAGGGTGTTTCTTGTGTTCAAATAATGAATTTTGTTTAGACTTCCCTAGTGCAGTTAATAAAAATAATAAATTTAATTATTATTATTATTTAGTATATAGTGATTAAATTAATAAATTTGGTTATTTCATTTACTTTTCAAAATGTTGGGATATCGACGGGGATGTAATTAATAGAAATCAAGTTCGATGGTTAAAGTGTAGGGATTTATCAAACTTATTTTGTGATAGAAAAGTGATTAGACTTGAAGGGAAATTTTATAAGATGGTGGTGAGACATTTAATGTCTTATGGAGGAGATTGTTGGTCTCGAAATGAAAAGCATAAAATTAGGTGTTGCGAAGATGAGAATGCTTTGGTGAGTGACTTTACATTTAGAGCCAGAATGTGAAAAGAATATATCCGTGAAAGTGTTGAAATAACGTCAGTGGCATAAAAGATTTGAGAGTCGCCTTATATGGTGTGGTCATAGTAAATGTCGACCATCTCATGACCTTGTTTGGAGAGTAGGTTTTAGATTTTGACTTTTCTTAAGAAAGATGTAGACTAAAAAGATTTGGGCCTGTTGCATAAAAATGATCTTAAGATATGACACTTCATAGGACACAATGAACAAAAAAGATTCATCGAATCCACTTAGCGATCTCATGACCTTGTTTGGAGAGTAGGTTTTAGATTCGACTTATCTTAAGAAAGATAGAGGTAGACTAAAAAGATTTGGGCCTGTAGCATAAAAATGATCTTAAGACATGACACTTAATAGGACACAATGAACAAAAAAAGATTCATCGACACCACTTAGCAGGATTTGCTGCTGTTGTTGTTACTTTTTAAATGGATGAATTTGGTAACTTAAAAGTATGTTGGTAGTGGTTGTTGGGATCAGTTAGTGTTTACATTTGAATGTATGTATTTAGATTTGCCTTTTTGGTAATCACGATTATAGTAACAATAAACGAGAACATTATTTTAGGAACAGTAACAACAATATAATTAAAGTAGTACTAACTTGATTTATACTTATATTAAGAAAACTATTCATCCGGTTAAAAACTTATTTGGATAATTTGTTTTCTTTCGGTTTATAAATGAATCAAACACGAACAGTCGTTTGTTCGATCGTGTTCGAATTGTTATTGTTCAAAATATAAAATAATTTAAAATACTTTTATATAAAAATTTTATCATATGTTAAGAATAATTACATGTTCTAAATATTTATCATATTAAAAAAATTAAATTCTAAAAATTATAATATATAATAAATTAATAATGATATATTAATATTAGTTGTACAAATGTTATATATTGAAATAATATAAGCTATATAATTAATGTTATATATTAAAATACTATATATATATATATATATATATATATAAACAAAAAAACCTAAGCCACTTTACACCAACCGTCTTCCCCTTCCCTTCTCGAAAGCTTTAGGTTTCAGCTGCATCCCCTTCTTCTGATTCTTCTCCTTCTAATCTCAAAATCACGAAAAGCTTTCAACCATGAGAACTTAGGGTTTGTCATTTGTGTTCGCTCTCTAATCTCTACTTATCTTTGTCTTCGATAAAGTTTCTTTGTCCTCGGTGAGTCGGCGACTCGGTGTTGGATCGACTGCTCGGTATTCTTGCTTGGTTGCTCGATATTCTTGTTTGGTTGCTTTTAAGACTACCGAGGTGTCATCTTTGAGTTTCTTTTCTTTAATATTTCATATTTATCTTTAGGTTTGCCTCTTAACTTTAATTTTCTTATATTTGATTTAGTTTTTTTTGAGTGGAACCTACTTTTTGATGTTTTTCGGAGTGTATCACACATATTACCTTTAGATCTAATTTTTTTATGGATAAGATCTAATATTATGGTTTTGTTGTGATCTGTGCTTTGACTATTGTGCATTTGTGCTGTGATTCATATAGATTTAAACATTAATTTCATACAGATTTAAGCTTTTGAACGATTTCGAACAATCCAAGCAATTCAAACAATTTGAACAATACAAACAAATTTGTAAGATTTCAAACAATTCAAAAAATTCGAATAACTCAAACAATTCAAACATTTCAACCATATTTCAAACAAATGAAACCAAACACGAACAGTAAATTCACGAATCACCAGCCTATTTCAAACACACTTAATTTCAAACGAACCGAACACGAACATGAGCTATGTTCGTTCGTGTTCGGTTCGTTTACACCCCTAGATGCGTGAGTGTTTTTAAGTGTTCAACAAATAATAAAATAAAATAAAATCATGGAACCATATTATCTTGAAATGTTTATTAGATAAGGTGATGATCACAAGAGTTCATCTTATTTACTAGCTACAAAATATAGAATTATAAAATTTGGATTAACAGTCTATCAGTTGTGAGATTAATGGAAAATGCTAGCGAAATAATAAGATGACAATGTGAAACAATTTTATTGAGTGGTCAGCGAAAATAACAATATGATAATAATCACTGACATTTGTCAACAATGAGTGCTGATAGTCAAATAATGATATATGATAATATTGATGGTTAAATATTGATGATAATTAAGTCAAGTAACGATGGATGCTAGTGTTTACTGTATTCATCTATGATAATGATTGCTAAAAAAATAAAAGCATGGGGGAAACATCAAGCATGCAAATTGAGCTATAATGGTTCGACCACATAAATGCTTACCTCCACTCCCTATATTCACTTCTTATGCTTTTTATTATTTCTTCTTTGCTATTTAGGTAGAAAAGCTGATTAACATTATGTATAATGGGGTAACTCAACACTTCTACTAAAAGTGAGAAGTATATTGCTTTTAGCACAATTTTTAGGTGCCAACATAAAATTTGAAGTCATAGAACTAACAACTCATATCAAAATCTTATGGGCTCTAAAAGAGACTCGTTTCATGAAGAATTCATAAAGATTGGAACACGCCTTTCATCAGGGATAGAAATAATTGTGGGTTGTTATGCTTTAGAGGAGGATTTACATTTTACTGATTTTTATTTAATTTTTAATAATTACTTTAGTTCAAAAATAGAGATTTTTTAAGATAATTAATTTAAGCAAGTAAAATAATTTTTTTATCTATAAGAAAATTATTGGAGGTTCACTTAAGTCAGAGGGCCATCTAGGAACGATCTCTGTGAATTTTTGGACTATAATTTAATTTTAACATTTTTTTAATGAATGAATAAATAGAAAATATATTTTAATTTATAAATTTTTTTTTATATTTTTCATAAGTCTCTCTGATTTCAAGAAACACAGAGAAACAAATTTTGTGTTTTTGTGATTTTTATTTTATTTATTGTAATTATTTTATTCACAAAGTAAAAAAAATACATTTAATTATTTAAAACACCTTTTTACACCATTAAAAATTTACAAACACCTCTTTAAGTTTTTTTCTATGGTTGGGGTGACATTTAAGATAATTTTCAATATTTTCAAATTTTTGGTATTTTTAATTATTTAAAATTATAAAATAGCTTAAAAATAAAGTTTTTATTTTAATCTCAATTTTATTTTTTTTAGGCTCCTTTGGCTACAAGGAACACTCCAGACCAATTTCATATTTTTCTAGTTTTTCTTTTATTTATTATAATTATTTTAAGCCAAAATTAATATTTACTTAGAAAATATATATTTACATTAAAAATAATTTTTATGGCATCCAAATTTTTATAGGAAGCCTCTTAAGATGATTATCTACAACTTGGCCCATTTTGGTAATTATTTGAATTATTTTATATTTTTTCAAATTTCAGTGGTTTTAATTAATTTTAAATAGGAAAAATGATTTAAAATTTTTATAAATATTACATTTATTTTTCCTATGATGCTCTAACCATAGTGAACCTACGAAATAAGACTTCACATTTTTCTGGCCTCTGTTTTATTTTTTATAATTTTTTAAGTTCAAATAATATTAAACACATAAAAAAATAGGGTTTTTGTTCATAGAGAAGTCCTCTGGCCTTGGAAAAATTAGAGGAGATCCCTAAGGATATGCAAAGCAAGCCCTCAAAATTTCATTTAATTTAAGTAATTGTTTATGATTTATTTACTCTCTGGAGTATTTAATTTATTTAAAAATAAATAAAATGAAAATATTTTTTAATTTTTTGTCCACATTTTTCTCCTTCGTTCACTAAGAAAATGTGTATTTTTATTTTATTTTTATGAATTTTCTTCACCAATATACAAATTTTTAAAGTTTCAGTTTTATTTAATTCCAAAATACCCTAA